CTTGCGAACTACTACAAATCTTTCTCGACAAGTGCCTGAATCATCATCTACATCATCTCCCTTGAAGGGAATTTCCCTGGAGGCTAACCGGATGTTATGCGGTATCCGTAAAATTACTCTCGAAGGGATAGTGTACAGCTGCTAGAACAAGCACGCACTTTGTCTCGGCTTTATTGAGGACGTAAAACGGTGCAGGGGTCCGGGCTAGCAGCCAGACGCATTGTTTATCATCACCTTTAACCAACCTTTAACCTATTAAATCAAGTCCTACTGTATAGACCAGTTCACATGTAACTGCGGAGCAATTTACATAGGCAGAACTGACTGGTATCTCGGTGTTTGAACAAAGAGCCACGTAAATCTCTGGGTACACAGCCAGATAGTAGTTCCAAGCCTGACAGCCAGCCACCACAATCATCGACTGGCGGAAATCTTTTGTCAGGGTTTACCAGGTTGGTATGATCTCGGCATTCACTCTNTTAGGGTTTACAAAGTTGGATTGATCTCGGCCTTCACTCTATCTATCGGAATTCACTGGTTTGGAAATCCTCCGGGGTCAGAGTGAGCGTCTTTCCTGCTCAGACGATTCTGGACCCAGCATGGGCTTTGTAACTACCTACCTTATAATGTGTTGGTCAGGATTTATCCCTGCTGCGGAACCACTAAAAATCCGTTTCTTACCTGCTGCTAGGTTGATGGTGGCCAGTCAATGCAAAGTATCCAAATCCACAAATCTCCGTCTCATTACTTCGTATAAATTACTGGATAGAAGAGTGTATCTTTCAGTACAGGGAGCACCCTCTCTCTTTTTGCGCACATCCGTTGTTGGAAATATTGTATGCTAACATTCTTTGATGCCAAGGAGTGTAATGCTCTTTCCAGAACAACTGATTACACCTAGGCTTTGGTTTGTACAACCGTCTGGGCTCCATGGAACTGCTCAGGCCTGAAGACCCGTCTGATGAACAGGTCTATTGACTAAGTGGAGATGACAGTTATTAAGGTAGTTGATGACTGAGTATGGCACAACAACAGATTTGCTTTAATTGATTTTATATTCAAGTCTGCTTGCCGCGTTACTGATCGTTAGTGAATGATGGATGGATATGTACTCTAAGTAAATTTTATGGATTTACGGCATTTCATACACACATGAGGCAGAGTACCATCAAACTGAAAGGGCGTTTGTGGCCAATTAAGTTTTGATATTCAATGTCGTTTATTTGCGTCGTGAGTGAACCGACTGTGTGTTCGCACTTCGACAATCAGCTCAGACTTTCCTATCTGATCACCACCGGGTTTGTATGCTATTCTAAACTTCAAGATATTACGTGAATTTCGAGTGCTTGATTGAACGGCATATCTTTCTTCGCTAACTGGTCACATACAAACACAGGTTGTTTGAGAACAACCACCATTGACCGTGTGTTGGTAAGTGCAACAAGTTCTTGTAGCTCAATGAAGAGATTTTTGGATTTTCCGACAAAAATACCCGAACACTACAGTGGTGGCAAAAATGGCGTTCAAGGTAACGCCTACAAAATGCGATGTTTTTCTAATCAGAATCTCCATCTAATTGATCAGTCCAAGGGCTCATTCGGAGCAGACTGTATTCGAAAGCAAATGTGAAATCAGAGTAGTTTTTTGTGGATTTCCAAACGAATGTGATGCGGTAATCAGTTCGAGTCCACCAAACACCTTCAACTTATACTGGTCTAGTGCTTCAGCTACTACTGATGCTAGTATATTACGCCTCTTTATTTGACAGGGCGACACTTCAAAGATATGGATTGGGATACTCTGTCTGCGCATCGTGCTAGATTACGTTCACGTCAGCGCGTCTTCAGCAACCTTGATCTTCAGGCACCTGGGTACCAAAACGTGGTCAGCCCGAAAAATTACCCAAGGATGGGGCGAGCAAAGAGTCCTAAATCGTACCTATCAGCCAGTAATACAAACCGGGTTGGAGCTAATCCCTACTGGGCTGAAGAGCCTGATGTAGCAAACCACCAGGTCGAGTCCGACGCGCTCAGTGACGCATCCCAGTACTCGCAACCTCAGGTTCAATCATCTGGCTTCGGTGCTCATAACTGGATGATTGCAAACCCGGACGACGGGGCAAGGATGTATACGGTAAACGAGCATATAACTCCAAGTGTTGGTCCTTCGTCAAGACGTGGTGAAACTCCAACAGTCTGCGTTGACTTGGCGCGAGATGCATTACCGCATAAAGTCCAAAATGATTCATTCAAATTTCCTCAGTTGCTGCAATCTCCAGGGGAAGAACTGCGACCTAGTAGGATTGGACACAGTTCCTCTTGGACCTTTTACTCAACTCCGCCCCCGGATCTACTAAATTCTGACTGTCAGCAGCCAAAAATCTAGTGCCCAATATGGAGACGTAAAGTTCTTCCCATTGTTTCCTGCATTTGTTTTTACTTCTTTGTGTATCAATTGTGAATGATGCTTAGTGATCACGGCGAGTGTTTTGTATCGTGCATTACAGATGTGATGTGCAAACAGAAGCCAGAGATCTCCTCAATGCCATGCGCGATGTAGGCCTTCTGTCCTTTCTCCCATGTTTTCCTCTCGGATTTAGGCCGCAGTGCAGATTTCATTACACAAGGAAGCTATCTAAAAGGTGTGATTCGTCAGTACGATTCTGTTTGACAAGAAAATCTGAAAACAGATATCAGATCAACTATCCACTTCGAGGTTTCATTGTCAACTTTATGACCCACTTCAATCCAAGGTAATTCAAGGTTTAATGGTCCAAAAAGCAGTTAACTTTACAACGATCATAGGGTGAACGTATATATACAAAGGGACGCAAAAATATGCGTAATGTTTGCTGAGTATCACATGGAGTTAAACAGTTCCAGATTCGGTTTGGACATAAGATATGCATCTAAATTGTCCTTGAAAGTGGTTAAACTCGGGGAATGTATAACATTGGGATGTAGGGAGTTCCAAATGAAACATACACGGACCGCAAAAAAGTTGCGTCGACAGTTCACCCTCGAGTGAGGTATCGCGAGCGAAAAGTCATGCCTCCTGCCCGTTCGTGGTCGACGTCGGACAAAAAGATTTTCCAGCGGATGGTTAGGTGTCTTCAGTATATTATATGTTAGAATTAGGTCTCCCCTGATGCGCCGATAGTAGAAGTCAAATAGGTTGAGACTGGCAATCCTGTCTTCGTATGGTTTATTTTGCAATCCAATTACCAGCTTCGTGGCTCGATGATATATTCGCTGTAGAAGAATTATGTCTTTTTGAAGCCATGGTGACCAAGCTTGTATAGCGTACTCCATGGTTGGTCGGATGTAGGTATTGATTACTCGGGGCAGTGCCAGTCGAGTGAAACGACCAAAAATCCGTTTTAGGAGCGACAGGACTTGTGAGGTCCTCTTGTAGACGGCTGTGCATTGCAAGGAGTTTTTTAAACAGCTGCTGACCCACACGCCAAGATCTTTTTCTTCACTAGTCCAAGAAAGTGGTTGTGGACCCAACGTATAGTTATATGCAAAGGGCTTCCCTACACGGAGCATTTTACATTTTTGGAGGTTAAACGGTAGTCTGTTTTTCAGTGACCAATCATAAAGTGTATCGAGATCTTTTTGTAATCGGTGACAGTCTTCAATGGTGCGTATGCTTGACCATATCTTGATATCGTCTGCGAATAAAGTGATTTTACTGCTCACGAGCTCAGGTATATCGTTTACGTATAATAAAAATAAAGTAGGCCCAAGAACAGAGCCTTGGGGTACTCCACTTGTAGCTGCAATTGGCTTGGACAGAGCGCCGTCAACACATACACGCGCGTCTCGGTCAGCCAAATAGATTTCAAGCCAAGCCAGCAGCTTTCCCGTAATACCATAATGCTCGAGTTTTTGCAACAATATGTTATGGTTCACGCGATCAAATGCCTTGGAGATGTCTAGATAGCATGCGTGAACGGGATTTCCATTGTCCACAGCTTGCGTCCAGTCGTCTAAGGTAATGAGGAGATTGGACAGACAGGATCTGTTTTTTCTGAAACCATGCTGGGCAGCCGAAAGCAATCCGTTTTCCTCTAAGTGTTTAATGATTTTGTTTGCCACCAGTCGCTCAAGCACTTTGGAGATCACCGGCAACAGAGTCACCGGCCGGTAGTTTGACACGACCGAACGATTACCTCCTTTGTATATGGGAGTGATAACGCCCTTCTTCCAGTCGTTGGGAACCACACCGTTATTTAGGGACGAATTGAATAACTCAGCGAGAGGTGTGCATAGGGAATGAGCACACTGCTTGAGGATAAATGGTGTTATCTGATCGGCACCGGGAGATTTTCTGTGATTTAGTTCAAGTAACGTTCGGAGTACACACTCTGGAGTCACAATTACTTCATGTAGGGAGGTGGGCGGTGAGGGAGACATAAACGACATTCGGCTTATGTATTCCTTCTGACAGTAAACAGTGGAATAGAACTCCGCCAGTTCTTCAGCTGCAGCTGACGCAGTGGCCGTCAGTCCATTAGGGGTATGCAGAGGTGAAATACCCGGTTTCACAGACGCCTTATTATTAATGATCCAATAGAGAAGCTTCGGATTTTTTTCCATTTTCTCTAAAAGCATTAGCTGGTAATCCTTTTTGTCGCTCGCGACCAGCGTGTTGACTTTATTTCTTAGTAACCGATATTTTTCCCATGTTGTTGTTGTTCGGTGACGTCGGTATTCAGCCCAGGCTGCATTTCGCTCCAGAATCCATTTTCGGGTTCTGCTTCGTAACTTAAAATCGAATCCCATCTGAGTATTCTTTGGAACGAAGTGGGAATGCAAACGTATTTTATTGACCAAGTTCCCCATGAAGCTAGACCATTGCTGGTGGACGTCTGGACCTTCTGAATACCAGTCCGTACAATGACTCAGGGTATTCGACAGTGCTTTCGTGTTCACTTTCCTGATCATTTTAAGCTCATCATTAGGTCTCACCGCCGAACAAACATAATCAAAAATGAGAACGACGTGATCACTCGATCCTAATGGACTTTCATATGCGATGTTTTCCACAACGTTCTCTTCGCCTGTTATGATGAGGTCCAGAATGGAAGGTATATCTGATCCTCTATACCGCGTGTTGCATGATATATGATTGTGAAAGTCAAGATCATGTGACGTCTCCTGGAAGGCACAATCGAGGGAATTTATCGGATTTGGTTGAGTCCGCAGCAAGTTTGGGAGATTGAAATCACCCATAATTAGTATCTTACTTTTATACCGGGAAGTCACGAGGCACGCTTCTCCATTTATGGTGTAATTGTGCAGTTCCTCCGCTGAAGGTGGTCGATAGATCACACCAACAACAGTCGTTTCCTGCTACCGTCTTTATCGAGCACCACAAGGTATCCGATAGTATCAAATCTTCATCAGTTAGCTCTTTGCACAATAGTTGCCTGCTATGGTAAATAGCTACACCACCTCCCCGAGAAATGCCATCCCGACGAAGAAGCGTCATTCCAGAATGAGAAGTTCGCTATCCGATAAGTGTGGCTGGAACCAAGCCTCGCTGATAGCAATCAAGTTTGGCAAATGCTTTTCACACAATCCAGGTAATTCTGGAATCTTGTTAGTCAAGCATTGCGCGTTCGTGTATAAACATTTAATGATGTTTATTGTCAGCAGTGTTGGGCAGTACGCAAGAGAATGTGCAGGTTGGGCGGTTATAGTTGTGCCGACCCTGGCAGAGTCGGCAGCTGGTTGTTTTTTTGAAGACTCAAGTGAATCCATACTGAATCGCTCGTTTATGATACTCTTAAACTGATTAGGCTGCACAAAATTGTGTTTTCTGAAGAAAATACACTGCGATATCTCAAATATCTTGCCAACTAAAACATGAGGCGGTCTGTGTGCAGCAAATTTATCTGAAGAATATCATACACGAGGGATCCACTGGTATTTAACCGAGTCTCCCGTTAAAACCAACTTGGTTTGCAAATGACTGTATTTTGCGATTATTCATCGGTTATTCTCGTGTAGATTCTAACTAGGATAGAACCGAAGGCCCACCAAAACCGCTAAAAACTACCATTTTTCTCGGGTGGCTAATAATCTCCTACATCTAAACTTCTCTAGTGTCAGTGTTAGATTTAAGCGAACAAGTCCATCAGTCGGCTACTAGTCTATTTCATGGTGTATATTTGCAGTAGGTCATGTCGTGATTTTTAAAATAGGGTGATTAGGGTAGCTACGGTCCAACCGATAAATTGACGTGGCCTGTGTGTAGTGCGAGTCTTACGCTTGTCCGATAGATTAGATCACCCGAGTCAAACCGTTGGAAATGATCACCACTAACAGGCTGTAGTATGAGTAAAATACGAGCCAGTACCTGTGCCGAGACAAATAAAATGAAATCATTCATTTTCGTCACACTTAGCGCACATTCCCTACTCGAGGCCGGTCAAGTGATCGGAAGGCTATGGTGCGTGGCTGAGTGGCACACATTTCAAGCAAAAACACATACTATCTCGAACCAGTGTCCACGGTAATGGACACAGTGAGAAACAGTAGAGGACCATTGAAAGGACAGGAAATCAGTGGAAACACTGTCGAGAACTTTGGTCCTCGTTTTTTTTCGGGCTAGCTAGATCTGAGAACTATCGGAGAAGTCAGTTTTCATCTTAAGCAAATCATGTACGAATTACGGGGACCATTAGCTAAATTTGCAGATGCGAGTGAGGTTTTGTCAAAGTATTCCATTTTCCGAAGTGGAGAAATCCTTGAACTGACTGGGGAGTCGAGAAGTGTATGGCTATACGTCATTTTAGTTGTGAGTGGTTGTGGGATTTGTAGGACGCACGCCCACATCACTCTCTTTTGAACAATCGTCCTTCTGTCCCGGCACAATCAATCTGGTGAATCCACACCAAAGGGTGGAACCACTGGACTCGAGTTTTACTCTTTTCAGAACTCATCAGTAGTGCATATTCTTACCTCCACAAACGCTCGCCTTAAATCCCCCTGCTTCAACAGGGACTCAAGCGGTGAACTGATTATGTTTTATGCGGCATCGTCACGAAATTCGCTCAACTTGAAATACGGTTCTAGTGCTCCATTGCATCTGTCTGCACGATGCTCATCACCACGTCTAGCCAGTCAGAAATTAGGAAGCCCTCATTGGTATGAATCATCAGGTGCGGTTGAAGGCGAATTTCCACCTTCCGTCAGCTTTTTGTAACAAATTATAAATGGATCAATCTATCCTTGCAAGTTCAAAGTGTCAGTAGACAATGAGACTAAGGCTGCCTATCTGACTGTGGTTACGCGCAGTTAGTACTCTTGTTTAATGTAACATTGTCTGTAGCGTGTGCATATGCACAGCTTAAGTTGGGCTATGCGCACATTCAA